TCCTGCTCCTCTGATGCTGCCTGGCCTGCTGTGTTCCTCCAGCTCCACACTGTGTTATCTCAGACTCCAGCATCGGCAGTTCTTACTATTTCAAAGAAACACAGTTAACAGTTTAACACCGCAGTCCATAAGCGCCTGGGCTTGCACTCCACACAAGAGCTTGACCTTGCTTCCACCACTGCCCTAGGCTGCCTGTTCCTGCTCTCACAGTTGATCCAGTGCAAAAGATCTGAGAATTTCAAAGGTTAATTGATGTAAGTGGCAGCCAGTGATCATATCCAACATGAGAGAATCTACCCATCTCCCCATGATAATCAACAATATTACCATTGCTGAATCACCCAGTATGAACAGCTTGGTATCAGCACTGGCCAGAAACTGAACTAAACCAGCTTTGGAAATACTGTGGCTCCTGGAGCAGGTCACAGTCTACAAATTCTGCAGCAAGTGACTTGTCTCCTGACTTCTCAAGACCGGTCCAAAATCTACAAAGGTCAGGTGTATGATTAAATACTCCCCACCTGCCTTAATGAATCAAGCTGCAAAGGCATTAAAGAAGCTCCACACCATCCAGAACAAGACAGCCCACTTGATTGGCACCACATCTACATTCACTCCCTCCACCACCGATGCCCAGTACAGCAGTGTGTGCCACCTACAAGGTGCAGTGCAGAAATTCACTAAAGCTCTTTCTAAACTTCAAATTCCACGAGCGTCTTCATCTAGAAGGACAAGTGCAGCAGATGCATGAACCTGCAAGTTCCCTTTCAAGACGCTCATCATCCTGACTTAGAAATATATTGTCGTTCCTTTGGTGTCACTGGATCTAAATCCTGGAATCCCTCCTCATAGTGTAGAGGGTGTGCCTACACACCAAAGACTGAGCAGTTGAAGAAGGCAGCTCATCACCGCCTTCTGTGAAGATAAACGCTGGGCTAGCCAGCCATGCAAACATTCCATGAAGGAATAAAGTAATAACTTTACCAGAAGCTGGCCAAGTTTAGAACAGGCCTTGCTTCCAGATGAGAATATTGAAGCTGGAGGGTTTCTAGCTGTTGTATCCTTTCAAAGCATTTCAGGAGTTCAGGGGTGGAGAGCAGCAAGAAACTAGAGACCAATAGTGTACAACAATAAATGAATGAATCCATTGTACGTCTTAAGTCATTTTCATTTCTTTAAACTCCAGCTACCCAGA